ACGAAATTTCCACAGATATTTTATAACCGTAGCTTATTTAATCCTTCACTTAAGAATTATGATACACCAAAAAATTCAAATAGCAAAAGCTTGAAATTTTCACGGGCATAACTAGTAAATATAAATATAAATTAGGCAAACACTTATCTGTACCGATTCGAGTATAGAAACCCTAATGTATTGTTTGTAGTTAGCAAGCAGAACATTACCCGTTCAATCCTCACTAGGTGTCCTACTTAGTAAACACCTATAACATTCTGTATTCTTCATTAACTGATGGAGAAACGATTAGTTCTTTAAGCTATTGGTAGGCGTCTTAGTTGAGCCAGCAGAAATGTGGTTCTACAGAAGGAAACAAAAAGTTGAGCAACGACGAAGTTTTAGAGAAACTGGAAATAAAAAAGGACACTTATACGTAGCCTCAGAAAGAGACACTTGAAAGTTCTAAGGTACGTAATGAGGAAAGAGGGACTGGAAAATTTAACACTCACGTAACATATTGAAAGCCAGAAGGACAGAGGAAAGCAGCAAATAAAATACTGAAAGAGCTTATGCAAATGGCTGGCAGAGCAAGGATCTCTATCAATAAAAGGCAGGATGTATGTGTGTGTGTGTGTGTGTGTAACGAATGCACGGCCGCAATTTTCGACGGCTTTGCACCAAAATTTACATGCACATGCTCCAAGTTAGCGGGAAGGCCAAGACTGACCTTGCATTTCCCAACTCCCATCGATAGTGGAAATAATCGATGTTTCCATGCTTCTACGGCAGTTTTCATGTAGTTTGCGGCCATTTTCTACTGGCCAGAGTGAGAGCCTATTGCTGGCTGCCACGAACAGGCAGGAAGATTCTATTGGCCAGCGTGAGAGCCAACAGCTGACTGACACGAATGTTAACTAGCATGCTTGCATGCAAAAAAAAAAACAAAAAACGATAGCGGCATTCGTAAAAAGTGGGAAAAATTTACATCTGCATGGCACTTTATTCCAATTGGCTCATTCGTTTGCTTAAACTCAACGTTGATTCTGATTCCGCAGAACTGGATTGGGTGTGGAAAAGTATTTGTTGTTAGCATTCTTTTTTGATTCGGTTTTTCCAGTTACGAGTCCTTTTTTAACGCTGATCGTTTTGTGTTCATTTTGTTTAGTTCTTTTGTCGGAACAGATTCAATGTTTAGTATAGAGCTTAGAAAAAATTCGCAGTGTGAGATAGGCAAGAAGTAAAGCATGCAGCAACATCAGCACGGCAAAGGGCACTCCCTTAAAGGCAAGGAAGAGCAAAAATATTTTAAGTCAAGTGATAGCGATTGCTGTATGAGTCGTACGATTTTTGAATCAAGCACGGGCAACGCCGGGCCATGCTGCTAGTTATGACATATAGCAGAAAGACAAACATTATTTAAGGCTACAAAGGACGGGAAATTCTGTAGAGTTATCATCGCTTACGTCCTGAGGGTAAATGGCACATAGAAGAAGAAGTCGTATTTAACCACAAATGAAACTCAGCTTTTCTCTCTGAAAGATTTAATTTCTTTCTTTCTTTCTTTCTTTCTTTCTTTCTTTCATAAAATTTTCTTTTTCTTTCTCTCTTCTACATGAATAAATGTGAATGTCAGTGAGTCACTCTTTTTCAACTTTACGCCTACAGGCCGAAACCCAAAGTATGATACCATTTTGGAATCAGACCGTGAGTAAATTAAAAACATTCTGGGACAGATCCGGACCCGAATGCCGAAATTTTCGATTCCCAAGTTTTCATTCAGTCAGTTATGTGCCATGCGTGATACACGCTTAGGTGATCATTTTTTTCAGCAGATTTTTTCCCGTAGTAGGTTGCCATTTCTTTCTGCGGTAGACCAGTTGCCCATCCAAGGCTATGGAACCCGGTCTGTCTTGCTATTTACCCATAGAAGAGGATTCATGCCTTTCCCAAGGGTATTAGCACGTAAGTGAATGTATTCGACTGGAATTCGAACTCGGCTCTCTGATTCTTCAATGCGAGCAGCTATCCATTAACCCACCGTTTTTACTACTGACACAATAATACCACAAAATCTCTATGTAGTCTTAACTAGTTCCAATATGTACAATTTTGTCTGAAATCGCAATGAACACAATTTATTTATATATATATATATATATATATATGTGTGTGTGTGTGTGTGTGTGTGTGTGTGTGTGTGTGTGTGTGTGTGATGTGACTATCCTGGTATTCATTTATGTGCTATGCGTGATACACGCTTAAGCGATCATGTATCTTTCGATACATGACTGACGAGACAGATTATTTCCCGCAGTAAAAATTGCCATTTCTTTCTGCGGTAGACCAGTTGCCATTCAAGGTTACAGAACCCGGTCTCTCCTGCTATTTACCCATGGCCTTTAGAAGTTTTCATTACTGCGATTGTTTTCGGCGAATTTTTACGTTATTTTTTTGCGACGAATTTTTCTGTACGTTAACAGTTTTTATAACTTGGAAATAAATTCGAGAATAATTGAAATTAATTGTGAAATACAGTGAAAGTCACCCATGAAATAGAAATAATTGTTTGTATGGAAAGTAAGGACCTACGTACATCAAATTGTCTTTAAAATAAGTGGCGATTAAAGAATTA